CCCCCTCTCTCTCTGCCTGCCTCTCTGCCTACTTGTGATCTCTGTCTGTCAAATAAATAAATAAAATCTTTAAAAAAAAAAAAGCTTTCTTCTAGGTCCAGTATCCTGTAACTGTATTACTGTTACCACTAAATCTATTTTCCCACAAACTTCTTTTAATGACTTCCCAAAAGTGGGACAGAGGGGCTCCTCCCTCAGCTTTCTAGTCAAACCTCCATCTTTCTCTAGCAGTCAAACCCAGTGGAATCACCTGCTTCATCCCCCACATCAAGAACTGAACGGCACCTCCTATTTCTGACATTAAATCCAGCTTCATTAGCCAGAGAGGCTCACCACTGAAGAAACTGAGACGTGTTCTGTAGGGATTGGGATTTCAACAATGTTTTGGCTGACAGTGATGTCATGGAAAGAGCTCAGAACCTCTTTGGCTTTGAGGGAACTATACGTTTTGTGCAACGTGCCATTTATCACAAAATGTGGCTCATAACATAGAGCCACAACTATTTCCTAATGTGAAGGTTGCTTCCGTGTAATATACAAGCCAAGGCAAAGAATCCTGTCCGAGATTCATGGGCAAATAGGCTAGAATCTGGGGAGAGATTATCGTGTAGTAACTCCCATCTCTCTTCTCTAGGCCAGGACTTAAGTTTGCCTCCAATATGGAAGACATGGACTGGGAGGCTTATGGCTTGGAAGATCTCTTTGGTGAAAATTACAGTTACAGCACAGAACTGCCCTTCATTCCAGAAGGCTCTGCCCCATGCAGGCCAGAATCTCTGGAAATCAACAAGTATGCAGTGGTGGCCATCTACGCCCTGGTCTTCGTGCTGAGCCTGCTGGGAAACTCCCTAGTGATACTGGTTGTCCTATACAGTCGGCTCAGCCAGTCTGTCACCGACGTCTACCTGCTGAACTTGGCCATAGCCGACCTGCTCTTCGCCCTGACCTTGCCTATCTGGGCTGCCTCCAAGGCGAAAGGCTGGATCTTTGGCACACCCCTGTGCAAGGTGGTCTCGCTCCTGAAGGAAGTCAACTTCTACAGTGGTATCCTACTACTGGCCTGCATCAGCATGGACCGCTACCTGGCCATCGTCCATGCCACACGCACGCTGACCCAGAAGCGGCACTGGGTCAAGTTCATATGCTTAGGCATCTGGGCGCTGTCCCTGATCCTGTCCCTGCCCATCTTCGTCTTCCGAAGGGCCATCAATCCCCCCTACTCCAGCCCGGTCTGCTACGAGGACATGGGCGCCAATACCACAAGACTACGGATAGTGATGCGGGCCCTGCCCCAGACCTTCGGCTTCCTCGCGCCCTTGGCGGTCATGCTGTTCTGCTATGGACTCACCCTGCGTACGCTGTTCCAGGCCCACATGGGGCAGAAGCACCGGGCCATGCGGGTCATCTTTGCCGTCGTGCTCGTCTTCCTGCTCTGCTGGCTGCCCTACAACCTGGTCCTGGTCGCAGACACCCTCATGAGGCTCCGGGTGATCGAGGAGACGTGCGAGCGCCGCAACGACATCGGCCGGGCCCTGGATGCCACCGAGATTCTGGGCTTCCTCCACAGCTGCCTCAATCCCTTCATCTACGCCTTCATTGGCCAGAAGTTTCGCCACGGACTCCTCAAGATCATGGCCTTCCACGGGCTCATCAGCAAGGAGTATTTGTCCAAGGACGGCAGGCCTTCCTTTGTTGGCTCTTCTTCAGCAAACACTTCTACCACCTTCTGAGCCCCTGGGCCCTGCTGGAGCGCCTCAGAGCACCTCCCTCACCGTCACATCCCATCCCGAGCCTCATGTCCACTGGTTGTTTCCAGTCTGTGTGTCAAGGCAGCTCCCGGTTGTGGTTACAGGAAACTACTGGGGCCACGTCCTTTTCAGGCCCATTGGAGGGTTTAGAAAGCCTGCCCTCGTTCCCCACGCCTCCCTATACTTACTATGCCAGCTGCTAGAGCTCAGTCCATCCTCGCACTGAGCCCACAGCACTCTGTTCTCTGGGGCAGTTAAAGACATTCGAAAGGCATCCTTTCAGGTGACGACAGAAAGTTCCTACCACGGGGAGCCGTTAGTGGCAAACAACAGTCATTGCTTTCCCGTCTCCCTTTCTTGCTTGCTGGCAAAGCCCACCTCCCTTGAGGGAGGCCGAGGACAGACACTCACTTTCCAAGACTCCCTTAGCTAGGAGTGGCCCCGTCATCCACGTCTGACTAGTAAGGTTTCAGGGCAATAGTGTGCTGGTGAACCACTCTCCTGGGAGAAAGAAGTCCAGGTTTGTAGCATTTACCAAGTTGCCTGGGGCAAATGCTCCCGCCACGACGATGTCAAAGGTTTTCATGTGTTTAGCAACTAGCTCACAAAAATTTAGGAAATGTAGTGGGCTGCTTTCACAAGTGGGTACAAACTGGCTTCAGGACACCGTTGTTTAAGAGGAAGTCTGCTGGGTCCAGGGACTCCTGGGAAGTATTCCTGATTTAAAAAGATAGAGAGAGAGACACACACCCACATATCCTTGGTTCTTGCCTTTGACTATGGTTGTGGGATATGATGTGACAAAGAGGCAAAAATTGTGCTCAACACACTTAGGCAGATTGAGTGGATGAGAACAAAGAGCCCAGAAGGAGACCCAAGCATAAATGGTCAATGATTTTCAACAAGGGTTACCAAGAATATTCAGTGGGAGAAAGGATAGTTATTCAACACATGGTGCTGGGCAAACCAGTTATCCACATGCACAGGAATGAACTTGGTCCCTTTCCTCCTACCATATACAAAAGTTAACTCAAAATGGATCAAAACCTACACAGGAGAGCTTCAACTACTAAATGTTTAGTAGAAACGTAGAAGAAAAGTTTTATAACATTGGATTTGGCAATGATTCCTTGGATATGACACCAAAAGCACAGGCAAGAAATGAATAAATAGATTATTGGATTTCCCCAATATTAAAAACTTTGCATATCGAAGGACACGATCAAGAGAGTAGAAAGGAAAATCATAGGATGGGAGAAAATATTTTTGAATCAAATTTTATGCAGTTTACTCTCCATGATACACAAATAATTCTTACAATTCAACAGCAATGACAACAACAACAAAGACAGATAATAGCAAGTGTCAGCAACGATATGGAAAAACTGGTGGGACCCTTGTGCACCGTTGGTGGAAAAGTAAAATGGTGCAGCTGCCATGGAAAACAGCACCTCAAAAGATGAAACAGAATTACTGTATGATCTAGCACTTCCCTAAGTGTACACTGAAAGCAGTGAACTGAGAGCAGAGACTCAAACAGATGTTTGTACACTAATGTTCATGGCAGCACCATTCACAGTTGCCAAAAAGTGACAATCACGCAATGTCAACCAGTGGGTGATGGACAAAAAAATGTGGAGTGTACATACAATGGAATAGGTTTCAGCCTTAAAAATGAATGAGTCTCTGGGATATGCTACAACAGGGATGAACCCTGGAAACATGATATGAAGTGGAAGAAGCCAGGCAGAAATAGCGTATGATTCCACTTTTTTGAAGTACCTACAATAGTCAAGCTCATAGAGACAAGAAGTCCAACAGTGGTTATCAGGGCCAGGCAGAGGAGAAAATAGGAAGTAGTTGTTTAATGGGTACACAGTTCAGTTGGGGGTGATGAAAAGTTTCTGGAGATGGATAGTGGTGATAGTGGTAGGACAGTGGGAATGTGCTTAATCCCACTAAACAGTACACTTAAAACTGGTTAAAAAAAAAAAAAAGGTCAATTTTATGTTGTGTGTATCTTACTGGAAAGGAAAAAAAAACAACAACTAGTTCCCAAACGACAAATTTCAGCAATTGAACCATTTGTGGAACCATCTACCTGTAACTTCTTGTTCGAGTAGCTAATTAAATGTCTTTTTTTCTTTGTACAAGCCATTTAGAGTGTATTTCATTACTTGTGATCAAAAGCATCTGAACTGCTACAGAGAAGTCAGGCAAGGGTGGGCAGAGGTCCTGAGTGTAGATTTATTTACAATAATTAAATCCCTTCTCTGCTTATTGGGTGCACAGGGAGAGACAAGGATTGAAATCGAGAGAGAACCCAGCCTTTCTACCTCCTTCACTCCCAGCCCAAATCTGTGGCCGCTGGACATGTGTCATGGAAGGAGATGTGTCCCAGGATCACAAAGCGTTTCTTGTGTCTTTGGGTGAAACCTGTCCTGAGTGCCAAGGGTCAGTGTGTTTTACCAAATCAGCAGGATTGGGGAGCAGGAAGCTAGACAGCTCGGCTGAGCTCAACCAGCCACCCCTACTTTGAGTCTCCACTCTCTTCTCTCTCCCACTCAAAACACACTCACACACACACACACACACTACACATGCCCGACATGCAGGACCATCAAAAGCACACCTTGCAGAATAGGGACATGGTATCCAGGCAAAACCAAGGATCTGCCTTGGTTGGGCAGTATTTCCTGAAGACCTGCCATCCCAGGGCTCTGGGACATGCCAGAGCCTTACCCTGGCAGAGCTCCCGTTCACAGGCCTCGTCCCTGCAGGGGCTTTGGCAGGAGGGGTTTGGACTCGGAGCAGCCCCCTAAGGAAGTAGGATGGCAAGGGGAGTCCGACGGCACAGTCCCCAAACTTCACCAGGCTCTGATCCCCTTCCTGTTAACAATTCTCCAACCACTAAATCAAAGAGACAGCAGCTGTGGCTCTGACCAAAGACCTCTCTAGGGAGGCAGGAGCAAACCTCTGAGCTGGGGTGCTCAAGGGACAGGTAACTACCAGTCCTGACTCATGAAAGTGCAAACAGGATTAATCCAGCCCGGATAATCCCTTGTCTTGAGCTCATTGTTTGCCAGGCACTGTGCTAAGCTCAGGTTCAAGTTTGACTGAGCTGCTCTGGCCAAGCCTTCCAAACAGCTTCTGATTCAGCAGGCCAACGTGTGTTAACTGGAGGGAACACCCAGTTGCCAGGACTGGGGGTGTTCTGACCTGGCAGGGCTGATGGGCCAAATGGCTCCCTGAGATCACTGTCAGTGGGAGGAGGCCAGACCAAGTTTCGCTCTGGTTCTGGGGCTCTGCTCTTTGCTCCTCTAATAAGCGCTAGAGGAAGCATGGTTCTTGAGGGAAATAAGGGGATAAAATAAGCCTAGGAGCTGCACTTGTGTAAACTGTTACTATCTCTCTCTCTCTCTTCCTCCCTCCCTCTCTTCTTCTCCCACATAAAGACAGTTTTGGCACAAAAAAACCTACCAACCAAGACATCACTGGGAGGAGGCAAATCCAAGGTCTTTCTTCGAGTTGTTGATTTCCTTCTTCCCTCTGATGTTTCCAGGCCTAAGTCCCACTGTCAGGGCCCAGCTCTGTTCTGCCTAGATCTGCCTGCTCAGTCTGAGCCTGCCCTTCTGGCTTCTGAGATACATCCCTCTACTTACATGAACACCCCCCATCTTGTTTCTCCGTTTCCCCAGTTTATGACATCTTCCTCGACGCGGTCCCTCCCCATTGCAGGAATGGGCTCCCTTTGCTCACGAAATCAGGTTAGCCTCCAGTGTCTCCTGGGTGACATAAAGACGTACCCCCCAGGAGGGGCATGTCACATTGACGTTCATCCCATGTTGACCGATGTGGAAAATGGCCACCCTGCCCTGGCAGAGCCAGAGGAGACCTAGAGCACCCTCCCAGGGCCAACCCTTACAATATGCAAGTGGGGGAACTAAGGCCTAAGCAAGCAGCTCAATCAAGATCTCATGGCTGGGTAAGAGTAGAGCTGGAATAAAAATGCCTAGTGCGGTTCATATTTCCAGATATTTAGCTTTTCTAGTGGTGACCCCTCAGGCACCTTACAAATAGAGAGAAAAATACGAAAATGAACTTCCCAGAGTGTTCCACTCATATGGGTAGGGCTGGTCCACTTCTTCAGAGCCTACACTCATCTGATAGAGTCAAGAGGCAACTGAGGCTTGGGGCCCAGGTTGGGAGCAGGCTCAGATGGGGTTACCCTATTCTGAGCTGGTAGGTAAGACGGTTAAAGAGACCGTCGGATGGGGTTCCTGGGTGGCTCAGTCAGTTGAGCGTCCGACTCCGGATTTCAGCTCAAGTTATGCTCTTGGGGACGTGGCATCGAGCCCCACAACAGGCTCCACGCTCTCCCTCTCGCTTCTACCCACCCCTCCCCACCACCGCTCACACACCCACACATGTGGGCACTCTCTCTCTAAAAGAAAAGAGACAGTTGGAGCCCAACACAAAATTCAGAGCCAGATGAAACAAGCCTCTGTTGAGGACACGTGCTCTATCATGCAGGGCTCCATTGGAAAGCAGGACCACTCGGGGGAGAGATTAGTTATCAGGATTTGACTGCACGCAATTGTGGGAGCTGGCCAAATGGTCTAGGTTGGACTGTTATCTTTGCTTCTGGTGCTAGGACCTGAAAATGGCAGGACAGAGAGAGCCAAGAAAGAAAGATCCCATGAAGCAGACAACAGGGAGGGCAAGTTGGGACCTGCCAGGACAGACTGAAACCTGCGCCAGTCTCTTGTGGACTACAAGTTCAACATGCAGACGGCCTACGAGAGATGCTGACGCTGCACCATGAAGGTCAGAAGACGTGTGGCTCAGGTTAAGGACCGCAGAGACCAGCATCTGGTGCTTGGTACTGACCTTCCAGAGCATAAAAAAGAATGCAGCCTCTGCTCCCCCTTCCATCTTCCAAAGCTCACACAACAGTCTCTTCTGGTCGATGTTAACACGAA